CTGGAAATTGTTTCTATATATTCTTTTCTGGAAAATTAAAATTCCTAGCCGAAATACGTCATGGATTTGCACGACTCTTCATTTGAACTCGTGAGTCCGGCTCCCGGCACCCTAAAATGACACAGTAGTTTGTGCACCGGGGGCTTCCTCTTGTCAGCGCGATGCAGTGACTCGCCACCCGCTCGCATTGACTGGAGAGTGATTGAACGCAACCGTGGTCCGCTGTGTTGCTGAATGGCCATTCCAAAAGTGGCTACACACAACGTGTCAGCGGAAAGTAACAGCCTGCCTCCTCATTCGGTGGAAGTGTGTGTTAGAGTGTGCGTTTTTGAGTGATTGTGTGTGTGCGTGTGTGTGAGAGAGTGGCAAGCTCCACCGAGCAGGCGGGCGGGCGGCGGGCCCTTCCCTGCGTAACTCGCACCGTAAACGTGTAAATGTTTATTCTCGCCTTAGGTAAAGCGTTATTATATATTTAGGCGGCCTCTGCTGCTGCTGCTGCAGCGCCGTTCCGGGCCCGGCCCGCGCCCTGCCTCCGCTCTGGCGCCCTGCGAGGTGGGAGGCCGGCGGGCGGAGTCTTTATCGCGCTGGGATGCGAAGCTAATTTTGGAAACTTGGCAATTAACGCGCCCCTGACTCCGAGTGATTCCAGTCCCAGTGCCTCTGGAGCGGCCGCTGGAGGCGCTGGAGGGAAGGTCAGAGGTCGCGGCGGAGTGTGACCGGATGGTCCTTTTGGAGGGGGAGGGGGGATGCAGGTGCGATGATTGAAAATGTCCCCTTCCTCGGTGACGTTGGGGAGGTGCCGAGGCTGGACGGACCGTTGCCGGGCCGCGCGTCGTTGCGCGATGACAACTTTTTCTCTAAGTGCGCCATTTCATTTTCGCCCTCTTTTTCTTGTGTTGCAGACTCCGATGGCGCAGGCGGCTCTAGCAGGGATCCGGCGGACAAGAAGATGGGGAGACACCTGCAGCCCCTTAACACCATCACCTATACGGTGAGTGCGCGCAGCCCTGGCGCAGCCGGGGGGAAAGGCGGAGAGAAAGGGAAGAGACTGGGCGGGCCCCTTGTTTGTATTTAGCCCGCCATTGTTCGAGCCGTAAACCTCCCGCGGGCGAAGGGGGAGGGGGGAAAGGACTACTGCGCCTTCCCTGGCCACCCTCCTCCACCCTCCTTCCCCGCCCCGGTCCTCCCTGAAAAAGTCTCGTTCCAGCAATCTTCATGAAACCGGGGCTTGCAGAGAGAGAGCGGGCGGAAGGAGGCGAGGGAAGATGGAGGGGAGGTTGGGGGGGAGCTGGG